AAGCCTGGAGCCTCTGGGGGAAAGAAATAGCTTGTCTTCAATTCACTCTTCTGTGCCTCTTCTCTGCATACTCCTGCCCCACCCAGCTCCCATTTTTTAGTGTATCCTTAAATTAGCATATGCAGCTAATACTGTAGTATGAATTAGTTTAAGTTCTCCTTCCGAAAATATTTGCAAAGAGAAGAGGGATGAACATTTAAACATGATATTCTGCCTCAGTAAAGATTCTGAAACTAGGCCTAGCCATGGCACCATTTCAGTAGACCCTAGTCTTCTGTTTGTAGCACTCAGGTATTTTGGTTCAAGAATTTGCATTATTTTATTATATATGATTTTGAAAATATTTTCAGATAACTTATTTCAAGAGACTGGGTCTCACTCTGGTGCCCAGGCTGATGTGCAGTGGCACAAGAATAGCTTACTACAACCTCAGACTCTGGATTCAGATGATCCTCCTGTCTAGTTTTCTTTAGTAGCTGGGTCTACAGATGTGCACCACTACACCCTACTAATTTATTTTCAAATTTATTCTTTTTAGGCAGGGTAGGGAGTAAGGGTGTGTCTTGCTTTGTTGCCTAAGCTGGTCTCCTAGTGTCTAGTGATCCTCCCACATTAGCCTCCTGAATCACTGGGAGTGCAGGTGTTAGCCACTGAACCCAGGTCAGACAATTTATTTTAAGTAAGGCTCACCTGAAAAGTGGTATCATGTTCATTTTAAAGACCTCAAAGTTGTCTTAGCCCTTTTAGCTTATGAATCAAAACAATGTCTAGGCTCTTCATGGAATGCTACTAAAATTCTCTCATGGATGTTTCTTTTATCTTTTCTTTTTTTTTTTTGAGACAGAGTCTCACTATGTTGCTATTGGTAGAGTGCTGTGGCGTCATACCTCACAGCAACCTCCACCTCTTGGGCTCAAGCGATCCTCTTACCTTAGCCTCCCAAGTAGTTGGGTCTACAGGCACCCACCACAATGCCCCACTAGTGTTGTTTAAAGATGGCATCTTGGTCTTGCTCAGGCTGGTCTCTAACTCCTGACCTCCAGTAATCCACCCATTTCTGCCTCCCAGGGTGCTAGGATTACAAGCTTGAGCCACATTCCTGGCCTTCTCATGGATGTCCTTAAAGATGTTTTTTGATTTATTTGTATCCACTTTTTGAGTAGATAATGCTCTCCTAGATTCAGTGTTTGATAAATTCTTGTTGACATCTACTGTCTTATGGGTATTTTCTTAACCATGGAGGCTTTTGGAATTGAGGGCCCCTTCAGTCTCCAGCATGACTAACGCTCGTGCTGTGATTCTCTCAGGTCCCTACTGTTCAGAATACCCTGGCAAGAATGAATGGTCCCGCCAGGGTGGACCAATTCAGAGAAAGGTGTACAAGGAGGAAAAAAGTCTGGAAATAAAGACAAGAAGATGAAATTTTGCAATTTTGCCCCTGATTGTTTAAAGGATTGTGATGTAAAAGAGGGATTATGTTTCTTGTGGGTAGAAGCAGATTTACTGTGAAGATAATCAGGGCTCTTGTGTGGACCCCTTTCAAGGCCCTGAACCTAATTTGGAACCCTTAAGATGTGTTATTTAAACTAAAATCCAGGCTTGGCACCTGTAGCTCAGCGGCTAGAGTGCTGGCCACATACACCAGGGCTCGTGGAGCTGGCCCGGGCCTGCCAAACAACAATGACAACTACAACAACAAAAAAATAGTCTGGTGTTGTGGCAGGTGCCTGTAGTCCGAGCTACTTGGGAGGCTGAGACAAGAAAATCACTTAAGCCCAAGAGTTTGGGTTTGCTGTGAGCTGTGACACCACAGCATTCTACTGAGGGAGACATAGTGAGATTCTGTCTCAAAATAAATAAATAAATAAATAAAGTCCACGCCCTATGCTACCCTTGCAAATTATAGTATGTAAGTCTCAGAACTCACAAAACCTGGATCTACCCCTTTCTGTGTGGCTCCAGAGAGGAAATCCAGAGTGAGGATGACAGCCCAATAAAGGAGAATCTCTTTATGGGCCAGGACAATAACCAAGAAGTAGACTGTTGCAGTAAGTACCCTCTATAGCTACTTACAGTCATTCTTCACAGCAACATCCCCTTTCCTGCTGATAGAACTTAGTTTTGTACCAGGTTTATGGAGGTCCCATGTGGTGAATAGTGCCTGTAATCCAGCACTCTGGGAGGCAAAGATGGGAGGATTGCTTGAGCTCAGGAGTTCAAGACCAGCCTGAGTAATAGCCAGACCTTGTCTCTACTAAAATCAGAAAAAATTAGCCCTGTGTTATGGTGGGTGCTTATAGCCCCAGCTACTTGCCAGGCTGAGGCAGGAGGATTATTTGAACCCAGGAGTTTGAGATTGCTGTGAGCTAGACTGAGGCCGGGCCACTGTAGCATGGGGCCACAGAGTAAGCTCTCAGTCTCAGGGAGAGCAGGCCTTCCCCAAGCTGAATCTATTTTCTTTTTTTGAGTCTCATGTTGTCACCCTTGGTAGATTGCCATGGCGTGATAGCTCACAGAAACTTCCAGCTCTTGGTTTCAAGTGATCCTCTTGCCTCAGCCTCCCAAGTAGTTGGGACTACAGGCATGCACTACAACACCTGGCTATTTTTAGAGATGGGATCTCACTCTTGATCGAGTTGGTCTTGAACGGCTGAGCTCAGGCAATCCACTCTCCTTGGCCTACCAGAGTGCTAAGATTACAGGCATGACCCACTGTGCCTAGACCCTGCAGTTTTTAAACTGGGTAATCAGACCCCTGGAGAGAATGAATACTTTTCAAGGGGTATGGGGCCCAGATGGTATTTTTAAAAGACTATTGTTATGGAAAAATTTCAACCTTATACATAAAATAAAATAGTTCAATGTACCTATCACCTAGCTTCAACTTGTTCTTGTTTCATCTAGATATCTGCTGCCTTCCCCTTCCCGTTATCATCATCATTGTTATGACTTTCTTTCTTTTTTTTTTAATTTTCTCTCTCTCTCTC